AGAATCGTCACAAGAAGTATCTCACCTGCGATTCCCATATATCTTTGGTGTCATACAATTATTTCCTGCTGCTTTTCCAAGCTTAATCTTTTCAGTGCCTGCCTTTAATTCTTCCATCCTGTTATCATCGCCATGGATGATTTCCTTCTCAGTAGTGAGGTCCGTTATTTCTAGCTCATGTCTTTCCTTAACACCAAGTAGCTCTGAGAAGTAATCTTTCCATCTGTCCATGACATTATCTGTGGTGGTTAGCTTGTCTTCTATTCATTTTAGCGGTCACTCTTTCTATTTTCTCATGTTCTTGAGCGTCTTGTAGAACAGTTTTTGATTTTCTCTTGCTATTTCATTTAATTTTTCTCCAACTTCTTCCACTGATTTCTGTTTTACATTACGCACTATTATTTTGGCCTCTGTTCTGAGTGCCACATATTGTTTATATACTTCTCTTTTTCATTGGTTGTGTTTCTGGCTGCCAGGTATTGCTTCTATGACTATTTGCTTTTTATTTTTTTTTAATTGGTCTTCTGTCCATCGAGGTGTCCTCTGTCCCCTCCCTCCACCTAGGATTTCACTGTTTGCTTTTACTGCAGCTGCTGTGAGGATATTCTTAAATCTGCACCAGAGGTTTTCAATGTCTTCTGACGGTTCTTCTTTAGTTCCTACATCTTTCATTGTAAGCTCATGGTAGCTAACCTCAATATCTGGCTCTCTTAGTTTGTATGCCTTAATCCTCACCCCTTCACGGTCGCTTGGTTTCTTGCATGGCTGTCGGTGTTGCCTTGTTGGAGTTCTTTTCATCTGTTTCTCTTTATTGTGACCAGATAGTGGTGACATCCAGTCTCTGGTCCTCTCATGATTTTCGCATCTCTCACAAACTTAAATGAACTTTTCCTGACTTTGGGATAGTCAATGATGGATTTCTCATTCGTTGAAGGTTCACATCTTGTGTACGCATTTTTACGCTTGTGGAGGAATTTTAGTGTCGGTAATGAAAAGTTTCTGCTCCTTACATGATTCCTGGCCACAACACAGCCAACACATCCTTTGGCTCTCTCTCATAGGGAGACCCCTGTGGAGCAGCAAACTTCCATCGTCATCTGTGATTCCATGCGCCCTTTTTTTTTTCTTGATTTCAGTCAGAGCCAGGATTCCTAATTTAGCTTTCCTCATCTTCCCTACTAACTTATAATCTCTCCCGATATTGCCTCATGTGTTCCATATTCCGTTAATGGTAGTCCGTAAGCCATGCCAGTTCATCACTGTTAAGATCTGTAGGGTTTTCTCTATGTGGTAACGTGTAATATAGTTTACGACAAACAGATTGTTGGCCTGTTGTGCCTTTGCGTGGTAGAGGGACTGCCTCTTTGCGGTCTCCATTCAGGCCGTCTGGCTGATTCACGGTTAGCCACTACTTCCGGAGACGTTTAAAGCACTCAGGTTCAGTCAGACCCTTCTCCTTTTAAAAGCCGGGCTTGGGACCGGTCTTAGCTAAGTTTTGAGTTCAACTTTTAACTTGAGTTTTTGACTCTGACTTTTGACATTTAACTTTAAAGTCAACTTTTAACTTTAACTTCAAACTGTAACTTTTACCTTTAACTTTAAACTGTAACTTTTTACCTTTAACTTTTAATTATTAACTCATAATTGTAACTTTAACATTTCACTTTTAACTTCAACTTCTAACTTTAACTTTTAACTTTAACTTTCAGCTTTAACTTTTAACTTTAACTTTTAAATTTAACTTTTAACTCTACTTTTAACTTTAACTTTCAACTTTAACTTTACATTTTAACTTTCAACTTTAACTTCTAACTTTAGCTTTTAATTTTAACTTTTAACTTTAACTTTCAACTTTAACTTTCAACTTTAACTTTCAACTTTAACTTTCAACTTCAAATTGTAACTTTAACTTTCAACTTTTACTTTTAACTTTAAATTTTAACTTCAACTTTTAATTTCAACTTTTAACTTCAACTTTTAACTTCAACTTTTAACTTTAACTTTTAGCTTCAACTTTTAGCTTCAAATATAACTTCAACTTTAACTTTCAACTTTAACTTTCAACTTTAACTTTCAACTTCAAATTGTAACTTTAACTTTCAACTTTTACTTTTAACTTTAAATTTTAACTTCAACTTTTAATTTCAACTTTTAACTTCAACTTTTAACTTCAACTTTTAACTTTAACTTTTAGCTTCAACTTTTAGCTTCAAATATAACTTCAACTTTTAACTTTAACTTTTAATTGTAACTTTTTACTTTACCTTTTAACTGACTTTTAACTTTGACCTTTAACTTTATTTCTCAACCTCAACTTTAACTCTTTCTCTTATCTTCAACTTTTTACTTTTTACATTTAACTTTAACTTTTTACATTTTGGTTTTGTTTTTGACTTTAACTTTTAACGTCAACTTCAAACGTTTTAACTTTTAACTTTAACTTTATATTACTTTTTAACTTTAACTGTCAGACTTCATTTGTACTTTTATCTTTTAACTTTATCATTTTATATAAAATGTTTACATTAAACTTTAAATTTAAATTTTAACTTTTAATTGGAAGTTGTAAATTCAGCATTAAAATTTAGCCTTTAACTTTAATTATTACCCTATCAGTCATCTTTATATTTAGACCTTAATATTTAACTATCTTCGACTTTCAACCTAAACTTTTAACCAGCTTTGACTTTTAATTTAATCTTTTAACGGTAACTGTTTCAGCTGGCATCCATGAAGCGGTACATCGGTTTCCCTGATGATGATTTTGAAGACTCAGACATTGACAGGTTCTATAAAAATGTGAGTGATTCTAGTATTTGTTATATTCTGAATTTTATAATAGTTAGCAAAACTGATTTCAGTTTAATTTAGAAAAAGAGACTTTTATTTTTGTTACAGAAGTTGACTATTGATGTTTAACGTGGAATCTTTTTCCGTTTGTTTTTTTGACACAACTCACGAAGTCGGGCCCACAAAAAGAGTTACTTCCCTTGCTACCCCTGGTCATGTCGTAGGGCCTGGGGCATCCAGCAACACAACAAATTGTAGGCGTTATTTTCATAGGCTGCTTGCAGTCGTAAGACGTAGGCAGCACACTCTCCTAATACTTAAGCTAAGGTTGTGGTGTAGAGGGAAGGAAGGGGGGGGGGGTGGTGTTGGTTAGGGCTAGTTCTACATGTTCTAGGGTCGTCACAATTCTGGACTCTCACTAAGCGTGACACCCCTACAACATAGGACGTGCCCTACGACATGACAAGAGATGAATGAGGAAAGTTAATCTCACTCCCTTTGTGGGCCCGACTTCGTGAGTTGCACCAATTTTGTTTTAAAAAGATAATATAGTTTTAACGTTAGAAAGTTATTTTTCATTTGGAATATTTGCTTTAATAGAACACATAGTTTGTAATTTTTATTTCAAGAAAAAGTTTATTTTTCTCGTTTGCGTTTTTTTTTTTTTTAATTGTATAATGTTTATGTTTGTCACAGAAAGAGATTTTGGATTTTGTTGCAGAGATTTTTATTTGTGTTACGAAAAGATATTTTGATAATTGTCTTAGAAACCGATTGTGATGTTTTTTTTTTTAAGACAAAAAAAAAGTCTGCATTTTTTTAGTGTCCTGTAAAAATAAAATTATTTTAGTTATAAAAAAGTTATATAAGTTTTTGCTGTAGAAAAGAATTGTGTTTTTCGCTCTAAACATGTGAAAGCTAGAAAGCAAGTTCCAGGAAGGCTAACTCGGTCAACAAATGCCTGCAGAAGTCAGATGTGTTGGCTGAAAGGTTCAAATATCGCAGCTATGCTGTAAACGGACACAACGAAATTACATCTGTGGATGAATGCATAAGAAGAAGAAGAAGAAGAAGAAGAAGAAGAAGAAGAAGAAGAAGAAGAAGAAGAAGAAGAAGAAGAAGAAGAAGAAGAAGAAGAAGAAGAAGAAGAAGAAGAAGAAGAAGAAGAAGAAGAAGAAGAAGAGGAGGAAGAAGAAGAAGAGAAGAAGAAGAAGAAGAAGAATTAAGAGGAGAAGAAGAAGAAGAAGAAGAAGAAGAAGAAGAAGAAGAAGAAGAAGAAGAAGAAGAAGAAGAAGAAGAAGAAGAAGAAAAAGAAGAAAGGAAGTTTAAAATAATGTCACAAGGCGTCTCCAGTTCACTGACTACTGGTCATCGGCAACTTTCAGTATCTGCAGTTCACAAAACAAACCACTTCAGATGTTGGTCGACAAGCATGGCTAATGAAATGCGCAGCTGCCAGTTTCACGGCATCCACTCAACAAAGTACTGGTCGACGGTACCACATCCTTTCAATCTACTTATCGAGGAAAATGCAACTCGCCACGACTTAAAACAGAGAACCACCTAACCGCCATATTGACCAGTAGGAAATGGATTTGATCTAAGATATTGATAGAATGGAGTGGATAAATAGACAGCCAACCATTTGTGACATATAATCGTACAATTGGCGAATTCATGAATTAATTTATCAGTCAATCATATATTGTAATCTATTTGGGGAAAAAAAATACTTTCAGTATATTAACTGAAAGTGATAAACAAAATGTGTGTAGAGATAGTTCAGTTTCCTGCCAAGAAATGGCTGGGGTTTAACCTCTACTAAAAGCAGAATTATTTCCTTTTGGAAGTAATATTCTGCGGTTGTGAAAGTATTCTGCCTTCACCTCGCCCCACCCCCTCACTTCTTACTTGCCACGGCGTTGGGATCTGAGAGTTCCGGCCCCTGGACAACCTCACACACACACACACACACACACACAAACACCACACACACACACACACAATATATATATATATATATATATATATATATATATATATATATATATATATATATTTATATAAATATAATTTATACGCAATATTATATTTAATAACTCGCAATATCTTCTACAAAAATATAAATGGCTGCCTGCGTTGACTGACCCCTATCTGCTAGTAATTGTGCTGTTTCCTCTATCGCTCAGTACACTATAAACGGGAAAGAGTACTACAACAATGAGGTGAACATTGCCAGGCAGGCTCGCTTCCTAAATCTGAAGTCACTGCGTCAGCCTTCGTCAAAGAACCCGTAAGCATGCATGATCGTTAGGAACAGTACACATAGGCTTCTTCTTTCTTAATTTTCTTCTTCTCTTCCTCTGCTTCCTTTTTTTTAATGCCTTTTCTCGCAGAGGACACAATATCATTGGCAGAAAGTGAACAAGAGTGCAAGACCTTGTTGAGCAAGAAAAAAGGCCAAGTGCAGAGTAACTGACCCAAACACAGAACCAGATACCAACAGTAAGCGGAAAACTTGGAAACCACCCGAAACTGAATGCACAAGCAACGCCAGACAGCCAAAGTAACAGAGGCTCACCCAAGCAGCATAAAATTCCATCCATACTCCAACACCATAGGCAACAAACTGCCAGTCCTTTTCAGGGCAAGCAGTTCTTCCATCCTAGGACGGTTCAACCGGCCAAACAAACCCACTCAAACCGCTATGACAGCTAAGCAGCCAACCCTACCAGCCAGAACGCAGAGCAGGAACAGCCAGATACGAGAGCAACCTAACGAGAAGACTCCATAACAAACCAAGAGCAATAGGAAATTGACAACACAAAGGAAAAAATGATTTGATGACAGCCCGACCTGTAACCAGAAATATAGCGGACAGGGCATAAAGCATCCATGATTTCTGTCACTTAGCTGCAAGTGGTCACGGGCTATATTGAATTGAATTGAAGTATGAAGAGTGATCTACGCTGTGCCTTGTCCAACATCAAAGTTGAAAAAAGAAAAATCCTCAAGGCAAAACAGTGTCAGCCATCACATTCATATTAAGAGTCTTGAGTTACCAGATTTTGGGGGCGGTTTCATTTGTTATTTGATGCTTTAAATTGTGTGCGTGTTTTTCTCTCAGCTCTTGTTAACAGTAACTTGGATTTGTCTCAACGTCATCCTCTTTGTAAATCACGTGTTGTTTGTTTGGTAATTGTGAGAGGTGGGGAAGGTCGGGAAAGTGGGGTGGGAGGGGGTTCACCTTGGGAAAAAAAAGTTGTATAAACAAGCTTAAATATTAATATGCAAACAAAAATAAAATGTAGGAAAATATCAATGAAAAAGTGGGTCATAAAATTAAATTCAGAATCAAGACAACGCTTGTGGAATCGGAAGCAATATGTCTCCTGTGGTGTATATGTAATAACAAATGAACACAGAAGGGAAAATATAAATCACATTTTAACTGTGGTCTTCAAGATTTGTCAATAGGATTCATTTGTGTAATTCTGCAGTGTTAACCTTACAGCGACAAATGTCAGGCAATAATTTCGCAATATTCTATGCAGTGCTACACGACCTACATTAACATGTAATAAACCACAACATACGAATTCTCAAAAACAACAAAATACATATATCTCATTGGGGGCCATCGTGGTCTAGCGACTTGACGCTTGCCTGCGGATCGGAAGGTCGTGGGTTGGGTTCCTCACGATACTTTTTTAAGAATGACAGTGGCTCACAGGTCGACCCAGCCTTGAATGGATATCAGGTACAGGCCTGGGAAGTAAAGGCAGTCGGCTTAATGCCGACCATATCACCCACCAAGTGTCGTTTAGTCTATAAAATATAGGTCTAGCCCTATATACCCATTACACTTTAAAGGCGTGGAAAAGGGTCCTTTACTTTGTGCTATATATCTCATTGCCTCTTGTAAAATCCGGGTTTTTGAATATTGTGACAAACTGCTAAAAGAACAAGATTTACTCAACGTTTCCTAAAATATTGTGACAAACTGTTAAAAGAACAAGCCTTGCTCAACGTTTCCTAAAATATTGTGACAAACTGCTAAAAGAACAAGCCTCACTCAACGTTTCCTAAAATATTGTGACAAACTGCTTAAAGAACAAGCCTTGCTCAACGTTTCCTAAAATATTGTGACAAACTGCTAAAAGAACAAGCCTTACTCAACGTTTCCTAAAATATTGTGACAAACTGCTTAAAGAACAAGCCTTGCTCAACGTTTCCTAAAATATTGTGACAAACTGCTAAAAGAACAAGCCTTACTCAACGTTTCCTAAAATATTGTGACAAACTGCTAAAAGAACAAGCCTTACTCAACGTTTCCTAAAATATTGTGACAAACTGCTAAAAGAACAAGCCTTACTCAACGTTTCCTAAAATATTGTGACAAACTGCTAAAAGAACAAGCCTCACTCAACGTTTTCTAAAATACTTATACATTGAAAAGGTATCTGCACTAAATATATCTGCCATCAACGCAAAACCAAAACTAAAAATATTGGCCTAATTGGGTAAATGTAAACGAATAACGAACCCTCCTCCCGTCATTCACGCATCAGACACACGTTAATAAACTAGTCTTACAGATCAATCAGTACCTCGAGGGTTGTCCTAGTCATCATCACACATGCCGGTATTACTTTGAAACAAAAATTATAGTTAAACATATCAAACCAGACGAAGAGCAGAAACACATTTTTACAAACAGAAAAGAGAAATAAATGTTTCGGCTAGAGAGCCTTCATCAGCACATCGCATTAATCTACAATATCACAAGTAAGAACAGGAATACACATCATCCCGTATGCTGCGTGTCTCTGATAGAAAACAAGTTTGTGTTGTAAATACTGACAAGTTAGCTGTGTAGACCTAAGATCACGCATATTTCTGCAACAATTACTGTCTCTTTGTAATAACGTTTAATTGTAAACCTGCTCAAGTCAATGTTATACCAAAGAGGATGTTGTCTCATACACAGGTGGACGACGCCACCTCATAAACCCAATGCAGGGTACGATCTGAATCGAAATGCGATAAGTATGTGACGCTAATCTTGTATGGCCGTAGATATTTATTATTTTATTTCTACAAGGACATGCTTCTCTCTTTCTGTCTGCCTGCTTGTATGTTTATTAGTCTGTCTGTCTGTCTGTCTATCTTCCTGCCTGTCTTCCTGTCTGTCTGTATATCTGTCTCTATCTTCAAGTTTTTCTGTCTTCCTGTCTTCCTGTCTGTCTTCCTCTATCCCTGTCTTTCTGACTCCCTTTTATTATCCGTCTTTCCGCCAGTATGTCAGTCAGTCTGTATGGCTGTCTAACCACCCTTCTGTGCATCCGACATTGTTATATATGTGTGACTGTATTTCCAACATGTACCCTTGATATTTGAGCAGGTCGAAAGATCGTGGATTCAGGTCATGATTGAGCCAGAAGTTTGTGTCTTTCTTTTTTTTTTTTTCAAAACATCGACACAGACTTGAGTTGGTACCATGGACAGTCTTGGGAAGTAAAGGGAGCCGACATGATTCTGACCTCATCACCCACCATGTGCTGATTGGTCTATTAAATATAGGTCTAGTCTTACATGTGCAAATACACCTGATTGCGTTGAAAAATTTTACTTAACCTACTTTACTTTATTTACGTGTGTGTGTATCTGTATGTGTGTGTATGTATGTGTGTGTGTGTCTGTATGTGTGTTTGAATAATATAAACATGTATGCCTGTCTCCCGAATTAACTACCGTCCTCTAGTTCCTGCATGTATTTCAACATCTATATGTTAAATAATAGGTGAGATTTGTGGTTTCTTAGATTGAACATCGCAATTTTAACGGGTTGTTAAATGTTTCAGTGTTTCTGGCCGGAATGTTGCAGCCACCGCTCTTCTCGGAGACTTACCAGTAGTAAGTTAACGTTCTCCTGTGATTGTTTCCATGATCTTGATCTGTGTTACAGTTGGACGTCAAGGAGAGTAATTTCACGCCACGGGGTTTGATTCCACATGGCCCGAAGCCTCTTCTGTGTGCCCAGATTGTGACCTTTTAAATATTTTAATTCGTGCATGGATTTGTTCATCTCTGGATGAATTTCGGTTTTCGGCAGTAATCGACGGTGCTCACCAGTTCCTAACATCTTTAAAGATAAGACAAGGCGTGTACAATAGATGCGTGTTTAGACGCGCCGAATACAAAATGCCACACATTTTTCACCTTAAAAAAAAACCTGTATCTTGTTCATATCCTAGAACTGTTAGGCGGCGCACCAAAAGCTGGGTACAAAGCACAAACTTTGTACCTTTGTTGAAGGTCCATTAAAAGAGGACAAAAAGAACCGCACTAGTGTACCTAATGGTACTGTCTGTGACAGAAACCCAAGACGTTAAGAGCGGGAGGCAAGTGTGTTCAAGAACTTAGCCTCCAGACACCTGGTCTTTATTATGGCGTCCCTTGTATTAATGATCTCGGTTTTCGTGTTCACTATCGGACCAATCACTGAATGAAGAATCTGTTACAGAAATTTTCTAATCGACTCATACACTTGCTGCATTGGACATCTTTAAACTGTCATTATAGGATTTCTGTGTTGTCTGCATTGTGTTATCACGAGCTTGACATTTTTGACGTCCTTGACAACAATATTGACAGGCTTGAAGACAGTGACATTGCACACTTACAGTTTTTATTTGATGCTCCCTCGTACATTAGGTAATGTCTCAGCATTTCATTACCTTTTTGCTAGCCTTTCGTCATTGATGTGCAAATTCGTCTTGTAAACTTTCATTAGTACTTTTCATTACTGATTCCTGTCGGTGCTTTATCAATAACATTTCCAGGCATTTAATTCTATTGGAATGTTCATGATAATTACAGACAACAACAACAACACCAAAATTATTTTGTCAATTAATGATCATATTTTAATTTACCAATCCTAGACAAACACTTAAATACGTCGAGAACATTTTTAGATACGATGTCGGAAAAGACAGATTGAAACAAGAATCCAAAAAGCCAAAAAGGTCATGTATCAGCTGACCTTTTTTTTTTTAAACACCCGGCTGTGCCACTAAGACAAATGATCAATGCAACCGTAATACCATGGAAATGTATACAATCGAACGAGAAGTAGGTTAGCGAGCTTCACAATATAACACACACAAACAAAAATTGGACGTTGCAAGTGAAGAGCCTTCATCAGCACATATATAAATCAAACAAAACCGTGCGAATACACAAATTAACTTAACTGTCATAAAGCAGCCATATTCATGTATTGTAATGGAGAGACACGCGCGTCCATCTCTTGCCCTAGTTGTATAAACTCGTAGATATCGCAGACTGCTGTTTGTCTATCTCTTGTCTTGGTTGCATAATCTCGCAGATATCGCAGACTGCTGTTTGTCCATCTCTTGTCTTGATTGTATAATCTCACAGACTGCTGTTCGTCCATCTCTTGTCTTGGTTGTATAATCTCACAGACTGCTGTTCGTCCATCTCTTGTCTTAGTTGTATAATCTCACAGACTGCTGTTCGTCCATCTCTTGTCTTGGTTGTATAATCTCGCAGATATCGCAGACATCTGTTCGTCCATCTCTTGTCTTGGTTGTATAATCTCACAGACTGCTGTTCGTCCATCTCTTGTCTTGGTTGTATAATCTCGCAGACTGCTGTTCGTCCATCTCTTGTCTTGGTTGTATAATTTCACAGACTGCTGTTCGTCCAACTCTTGTCTTGGTTGTATAATCCCACAGACTGCTGTTCGTCCATCTCTTGATGTCACTCCCCCCCCCCCCCCCCCCCAATTGTCCTTCCAAACGCTTGAAATCAGTTCACAGTTCTGATTGGTTGATACATCATCTGGGTTGATCTGCGCACATATTTGACATCACATAAAGCAAGAGAAGCCCACATCAGCTCCATCTCTCTCACTACCATCAGCCAGTGAAGAGTCTCCGTGCTGATGATGCCCCCTGTTACTTGGTTAACTACTTGTCTTGCATTTACCCCTATGCTCGAGTGGCGCCCACAGCCCGCAGGTAGTCTTGCCCAAAATTTTTTTTTTTTTTTTTAAATCTGATTCTGGGCTCTGTTGGACCAACGACTTTCGGGTCCGTAGCCAAGCATCTAGTCGTTCGGCCACGGTGGCTTCCCTAGTCTCCTTAAAATACTTCACAGTGAACTGCTAATTTACCTATATATGTTTTACGTATTAGTTTGATAAAGTTTGTAACTTACCCTCTCTTTAACATTTTTCCCACAGTTACATGAACTACGGAGGTATGGGGGTTGTCATCGGACATGAGATCACCCACGGCTTTGACGACGAAGGTATGTCGATAGGGATATTTCTATGTCAACCAGACCTAGAGTTGTTGTCTATGTCACTTTGATTATCCAGGCACCTTCTGTGCCTTATGCTCTTTATAAGTCTACAGAATGTCCCCGCATTTTTAAAACTAACTAAAAGATCTGACAGAAAGATCTCAAATTGTGAACGGCACTTTTCAACCATGACTTTGTGGACTTTTTAAATGGCCACATCCGTCACCCACGAATATCATTGGCGGCATTTTGATCTTCTGCTTGAAGAAAACGAATCACATCACGAATTTTAAAATGAAGAAGAAGAAGAAAGAGAAGAAGAAGAAGAAGTAAACTAGTAGTTGTATCAAGTTAATTCGTTCACGATTTGTGAACCACTAAAAAAATGCGACTGCAAGTTAATTTGCAGTGAGCTAAAAGACTACTGAATGAGGAAAGCAATGAACTGTGTCGCTATGGTAAACAGTTTTTTGCCAGTCAACTGGAGTTTGATTTTGGAAGAGGCCTCGACTATTAAATTATGAGACTGGTTTCTTGTGACAAAGACGAAAACACCATCCATGAAGTCTGTCATCCAGACAGGTACCAATGATTTGTGATTTGGTCATATTACGACCTGCCTAGTAATCTGTCATTGAGATCACAGAGTAGGCTGAGAAAGGTGGAGACAGGCATGCTCCGTGCAGAGTGGCAAGCATCACTTCAGATTTTTCTGGTAGTTAGCATGCTTTGAATATTTGCCCCAGGGTATGCCGGGTTTTGGAAAATGAGCAGGCGGATAGACTGGCCGGTTTTGCACCACTTAGTGGTGAACTGATGTATGACAAGCTGGATATTGTGAAGGCTCTTTGGCCCTTACTGAGGAACAGATAGATCATTACGGTCTGAGGAGAATGGATCTGCTAGGAGTTACAAAGGCATCTGGCCGACATTCGATACTCAGGGAAAATCGAGACGGATATACAATCAGACAGTTACTGGTACCATCCGAATTTTAACTCTTTGCTTTTTGCTGAAGATGGCGGTGTTCCGAGTGCTGTGATGTCGATTCCTAATTCAACATTCAACATTCATTTAGATTAACGTTTTCAGCTAAATTAACTTGCATACAATGTCGATGGAACCTTAAATGTGTATCAGGTAATGTTCCTGGGAGTTGAGTAGGCCATAATGATGCTGACCACGAAACTCGGTCGAGGTGCTGTTTGAAACCCTGGTGAATGTTGGGATTTTTTCATGTAGACATTTAGGAATTTCCATTGGTCTCTGGGTAGTAAGATCGGACGCCTGTGTGTATTATGTACACGTAAAAAATCCCGTGGCAGTTGGAAATCAGAAAACGGCGCTGCCCGAGCAAAATTTGGAGTTAAAAATCTACCTTTAGGATCCTCGCCAGATCAACTGAAATTCTTCAGACGCAGGATTGAGCTAGAAGTAAAACGGAACACTTATGGGTTACAACTTCTTCTTCTTCTTTTGTTCGCCTTCCATGGCGTGTATGCGTGGCATCCTGATTGCTGTGGTGCGCCTCTTGGCTGGTTGCCTCCGACTTCAGCACCTTGTTTTGCTAGGTTCGACTGTGATCATACTCGAGGAGAGTAGGCCCATCCATTCGTCTTTCGCCTTTACCTCGTTTGTTGTCCCATCCAGTTTCCCGCTGGGGGTTGAGACCCCAACCTTCAACTGGATTGCTGGGAAGAACAGGGTCCACCACGTGAATGTGAGGTAGGCTTGAGCAAGAGAGGCTAATAGATATTAAGAGTCTTGTATTGCGCATCATCGCTCCATTAGGACCCCTGGGTTACAACTGTGTGCCATGATACTAATCTATCGACTAAACCTAAACTCGAATGAAGACTGGTCTGTGGAAACATAGATCTAGCTATGTTCCGAGTGCGCTAAAGGAGTGGATGTAGCCAATTACTTTTACATTACTTGTTACATTTCTGAGTTCCAGCGACGATTAACTGCAACTCTAGTGGCAGACTGTTTGTGTTGGCACTTCTGTTGAATAAAGAAACAAGAATTGACATCACAGCACTTGGGACATTCCTATAAGCGTTCCGTCTTCATATTCAGCAGCAATAGCAGAGTTCTAATTTCGATTGTACCAATAACAGACCGCTATGCTCTGTTTGTGCCTCCAAACTGTTCACTGGCTCCCAAAGGAAAATTGCAACATTTAGTTTGTCGCGCGTCAGTATGAAACCTAGAGTTGTAAAACCAGCCAGACTATATGCCAGTTTATTTTCCAACACATCGGCATTACCTGGATACAATAAATAAAAGATGCTAACATGGGACCTCTGAAGCGATGCTTGCTATTCTAAACGAGCATAGCTGTCTCCACCTTTCTCAGCATGCTCTGCGAGCCAGTTCATTTACCGCATGTGTGCAAAGCTGGCTCTTGAGTTAGCGGAAGACTGCAGTGACCGCCTCCACCTCTATTCCTAAACTAGATGACATTCTGGCACTTCTGAAGGCTTCCTAATGCTTTAAGATTTTAATTCCTTTCCTAATTTTAATCCCTTTCTATGCCTGAAGCTGCGAGACATTCCAGGAGTAGAGAAAAGAAGAAGAAGAAAAAGAAGAAGAAGAAGAAGAAGAAGAAGAAGAAGAAGAAGAAGAAGAAGAAGAAGAAGAAGAAGAAGAAGAAGAAGAAGAAGAAGAAGAAGAAGAAGAAGAAGAAGAAGAAGAAGAAGAAGAAAGAAAAAAAAAAAGAAGAAGAAGAAGAAGAAGAAGAAGAAGAAGAAGAAGAAGAAGAAGAAGAAGAAGAAGAAGAAGAAGAAGAAGAAGAAGAAGAAGAAGAAGAAGAAGAAGAAGAAGAAGAAGAAGAAGAAAGAAGAAGAAGAAGAAGAAGAAGAAGAAAGAAGAAGAAGAAGTAAAGAAGTAGAAGATCAAGACTGGCGAAGAAGAAGAAGAAGAAGAAGAAGAAGAAGAGCGAAGAAGAAGAAGAAGAAGAAGAAGAAGAAGAAGAAGTAGAAGAAGAAGAAGAAGAAGTGAGAACCAGAAGAAGAAGACAGAAGAATTGAAGTTTTAAGAAGAAGAAGAAAGAAGAAAGAAGAACAGAAGAAGAAAGAAGAAGAAGAAGAAGAAGAAGAAGAAGAAGAAGAAGAAGAAGAAGAAGAATAGAAGAAGAAGAAGAAGAAGAAGATGGCAAGACAAAGGAGAAGAAGAAAGAGAAGAAGAAGAAGAAGAGAAGAAGAAGAAGAAGAAGAAGTAGAAGAAGAAGAAGAAGAAGAGAGAAGACCAGCGAAGAAGAAGAAGAAGAAGAAGAAGAAGAAGAAGAAGAAGAAGAAGAAGAAGAAGAAGAAGAAGAAGAAGAAGAAGAAGAAAGAGAAGAAGAAGAAGAAAGAGAAGAAGAAGAAGTAAACTAGTAGTTGTATCAAGACTGAGGTCTCTTTTCAATTTTTTTCTGCTCTGGACAGCGATTGGCGTTCTATGTGAGTTTCGCTGTAGCAGGAATGGGGCAATATGTGATTACCAGCTTGTATTGTTACATAGCCATTGTTGTTCGTCACTGTGCCAAGGTAGTTGACGGTTGTATCATATCGTATAATGTTTTTGTTTTTTTTACAGAAAGTTGAACATTTGGTATCATTTTATTCAAAATAACTGATCATGTCTCCTATACTTCACAGGGAGCCAGTACGACAAAGATGGCAACCTGCGGAACTGGTGGACTAAAGAAGATCTCCAGAACTTTCGTGACAGAGCGCAGTGTATCATTGATCAGAACTTCAACACCACTGTTGTTGAAGTCAATAGAACTGTAAGCACAAATGCTCCCCATTGCATAAACATCTCATTTCACATTGTAATTTTACGTTTATGTTTTTTTCTAGGAGGGTCAGTGTCTGGTGCTGATAACACACAGTTGGTACGAATCACGGATTTATCAGCTTCTTGTTAGTATTCTTAAAATGATATTTCACTGATAGAATACTTGTAATTTTTATTTTTTAACCCTTAGTTAACATTATACAAAAAACAGTACATTGCCTATCGCAATCAAATTACTAATATGAAGTAAATGAAAACATCCTTCGTTCAAATGGATATCGCATTCGAGTATCCGTTACAGTCGCAGTTGACATTGAAATGCATAGGGCACATAAATGTACTGGATGGATTTCAGGCGACCTTGTAACCGCCCAGGGCCCTAATATAACATTACAATTGAACAGGGCTTCAGGGACTTGACATGGAGGATTCTCATCATAGTAATATCGCATTGCACTTTGTGTCACCGAGTGTTAATCGTTCAGTGTGCAGGCCTAATGGAGCTCAGTTTCTCCACTAGCTCATGGCTACTGTATCAGACACTATAAAGTGTACCGGCACCTTTGTCAGACAGTTTATAGTGGGTACCGGCACCTTTGTCAGACAGTTTATAGTGAGTTCTGGAACCATTTTCAGACAGTTTATAGTGAGTAGCGGCACCTTTGTCAGACAGTTTATAGTGAATATCGGCACCTTTGTCAGACAGTTTATAGTGAGTATCGGCACCTTTCTCAGACAGTTTATAGTGAATATCAGCACCTTTGTCAGACAGTTTATAATGAGTATCGGCATCTTTGTCAGACAGTTTATTGTGAGTACCGGCACCTTTGTTAGACAGTTTATAGTGAGTAGCGGCACCTTTATCAGACAGTTCATAATGAGTACCGGAACCTTTCATAGACAGTTTATAGTGGGTACCGGCACCTTTATCAAACAGTTTATAATGGGTACTGGCACCTTTATCAGACAGTTTATAGTGGGTACCGGCACCTTTATCAAACAGTTTATAATGGGTACTGGCACCTTTATCAGACAGTTTATAATGGGTACCGGCACCTTTGTCAGACAGTTCATAGTAAACACCAGAACATTGTATTTATAGAAAGAAAACCACCGTCCCTAGCTAGTGTGTTCTAAAGTTATAAATCTATTCTTGGGTTCAAAAGACACGTTCCAACATTTGTTGGCTACTGTGGGGGTTATATCTACGTCTTTTTTAGGGGTTGTGTGTATTTTCATAATTCCAACATACAAGCGTGAAAGTTGCAGGCGGTTTTACTGCAGATAGCAGACTTAGACAAACGCTAACCTTCGTAAAACTGACTGTATGAAATTAGAATCCCGAGGAACGCCAGCAGCTGAATCATCTGAGACAAAGTTAGAAATGATAAGCTGTGAGAACAGACAGTGAAACAAATACATTGAGTAACAGAAAATCTAACTGTTTTGTAAGTAGTTAGTAAGAATGCAGCCAGAACAACAATCAACGCAGGCGCTACATTTGAAAAGATATGGTGTGTAAAACACGAGATCACTTTAGCAAAATATGGACTGATGACATTAAAAACGTCTACATCGACACACAATGACAGTACCATTGCTGCCCATCAAGCAGTGGATCACAAATTGTTCCTTCCCACCATGCTCAACCAGTAGAAGTAGCAATACATGATGATGATCATCATAATTACCTTGTTTGCGTTGACAGCGTCCAGAAGAAAAGCTTCAGGCTACTTTTGACTATGCACCAGGATTGCTTTTGACGGCGTTACTTAAGTAGAGTAACTTTAGCGAGGATGTTGCATGTGAAGTATGTCTGTTTATATATATATGTGTGTGTGTGTGTGTGTGTGTGTGTGTGTGTGTGTGTGTGTGTGTGTGTGTGTGTGATGTTTGTGCTCTGTGTGTGTCAAAATAAATCGACAGAAGCATTGCGAAAAACCATTATTAAAGACTCTTTTACATCGTAATCCTTAGTAAAACGTGAAGTATAAATTTGAGTAAATACAAATGTTGGCTTTTACAGCTGAACGGAAATAGCACACTAGGTGAAAGTATAGCAGACAGAGGTGGTCTCAAAGAGTCCTTCAGGTAAGACATATGCCTAACACTTGTACAGTAATGCTCTCTTTCACTAGCTTGATTTTCTCTGAACTTTCTCTAGTGGTCTATAGACACGACCGTCAAATAAAGGACATTGTAATCAAGAATTGGTTACGTCCCGTCTCTGAGTCTCATTTAGGCAAGGACTCTTGACATAGATCTATCTGCTAGACTTGCCCATATGTGGTTCAGCCTGAGGGTCTGGCATTCCCTAATACCACTTTCTACATTCGCAAGGGATATATTGCACGACTGGCAATTAATTTGCGCCATCATCTGCAAAAGACATGGCATGAAGTAAATACGTGAAACGGGTCCCGACGAGCTGACAGACTCAGACAGCATGTTTCCGATGTGCAGGATTGTGGACTCAAACCAGTGCCGATGCATTTGTGTGTTCAGCATGGAGGGTACGACCATCAAGTTTCTCCTTTCTGCTGAGAATCCGATATCTCTTCTTTCGCAGCTTCATCAAACTAATAGGATCCCATTCACCTAAGGACCTTAACTTCCAACACAGCTTTATCTACTAATTTTGTATTACAACCTTACTTGCTACCGGACATTCTGGCTATTATCCTTTCCTGTGTTCAGTCGCGTCTCATGGCTGCTGCTGGTCAGACGTATGTGTATATCTTAGACAGGCTTCAGTTAACGGTTTCGTATATTCTGATTTGTAAATGTAACATTGTCTATTCATGGCATGTTCTGATAAAGTCGTTCTAACTGTAAACTTTACTTATCGTTTATGACCTAATAATGTAAAACCATAAAGCTCAACTTCACGTTTCGGTAAATGTCTGTTCACAATAATGGCCTACAAAGGTTTGTATGACACTGCTCTCTCGCACACATATTTCTTATAACATATAAAAGTCTTTTTTTTTTCCATACATAGTCTCATTTATATGTTTTTATCTCTCGCGTAAAAAGATTATTTTCTTTTATATACACAGGTGTCTTATCTGTAAGACACACATATCTTTCATCTAACAATCGTAAACTTAGGCAGGTCAAAAAGGTAATAAACTATTCCCCTTGAGTGTAATAATAGGCACGTAAAGGACTTCCTTTCAGGTTTATTTCAGGGTATATGGTGCTACGTGTTATATTAAATAGTTGTAACGGGAATGGCTGGGCGATGTGGTCAACATCACGCCAGCGAAATGGCCACTAATACGAGAGTATTCCCTGTTCGATGTCTATAATAGTGCTCTTATCCCATAGATGTTTTGTCTTGACTAAAGTTATAGCATGAATGGAGACACAGACTTCGACCCATATATGCTTTCTTAGTGACTCAGTTTGCTCAGGAAGAGAGAGATTAAGTTCAAAGACAGTAGCTGAAGTCTCTGAGGTGGTCACTGCTGGCAAATATCGGTTTTCCTGCCATAGCACGCAGGTGTGCAAGGAAATAAACATGCTGATAGGCTGGCAGTTGAGGCTGCTGTAGAGGGCGGACAAGCCATGGACCATGCTAATATACTGAATGCTCTACGAGAAGTGACACGTTTACGCGAATCAAGGAATGAGTGTTAATCTGCAAGAATGACCAGACTGCAAGAACAGCGTGTTAAAAAGGATTTGACCAGACAAGAACACCATGCAGGAAGCCACAGAAGAATAAGAAATCAACACAGAACTTTTGTCGTCAGCCGCTGCACGCTGCGGAAAATACTGAGGAGGTGGTCCGCGCACTTATGGACTCAATGGACTGATGTGCAATTATGATAATAATTACCTCAATGGACTGATGTGCAATGATGATAATAATTAAAATAAGTAAATTATTTTCATTAAAGGGCCTATCAGAAAAAAATGAAAAAATGTGGCGCAGAACTCCCGCTACCTGGCATAAACCTCACACAAGATCAACTTTTCTTTATTGCATTTGGTCAAGTAAGTGTTAGCTTTCCATATATAAGAGCATTCTTCTAATTTATGTCGTTTTTTGCAAAGCTTACATTTGAAAAAAATAACTGAAATGTTTTGCTTTCAAAAATATAATACATTCAAGATAGGGTCATGTCGGCTGCATTTATCACAGATGACAACAGCAACACCTTCTCCAGTAGGGCCATTGTGCTGACGTCATCAGCTTGACATGACGTCAACACCTTGGGCTAATAACACGTTTCGTAGTCACTCTGACAGTACGGTTTTTTCGGTGTATTACCGGCCATCCCCCTGAGTACTCCCCACACAAATTATAGCCATAAGCTCGAGAACAGAAAATGTACATAAGTATATACACAGATATACACAAAGATGACAGCACTTTAGAAACTATGTTTAGTTAAGAAAGAAAAACCTCACCATAGACACCACCTGTTTCGTTGTAACAGATTTATTGGAAATTTATGTCAAATTCTGTTAGCATTGTATGGAAGATGTTAAAATATGTCGGCTGTAAATGAGAGATGTATTGACAGTTTATGTTAAAAGCCGTTGGCAGTGTATGAGATATGGATTGGCGCTTTATGTAAAATTATGTTGGTTGTATATAAGATTTTTTTTTTATGTTAAAATTAGTTGGTAATGATTGTTAAAGGTTTATTGGCAATTTATGTCAAAATATGTTAGCAGTATATTAACGATTTATATGCAAGTTATGTAAAAATCTGTTGGCAGTGAATGTTAGAGATTTATTAGCAATTTATATAAAAATCTATTTGCAGTTTTTACTGGTAATTTACTGACAGTTTATGTTTAAATCTGTGGGCAGTTTACTTTAGAGATTTATTGTCAATTTATATTAAAATTAGATGGCAGTGCATGTAAAAATTAATTTTACGGTAATATATTCTTTATAAAATATTGCAGCAGTTCCTTTGAAAAAGATATTAACAGCTACATTTATTACTATCTTAATACATTCTTTTACTCTTAGTTATTATTTAACAATTCCTCCTAAAAGTAAGGCAATGGTTCCGATTTGAAATGCTGTTGTAGTTCTTCTTTGAAAAATGTAAATAACTCCTCTTAGAAATATGTGAACCTGTTTTTTTAAACATAGTGAAACCAAGAGACACCAAGTTAATAAAGTGTAGCATTGTTCTTCCTCCTACAATTGAGTCGAGGTGCTGCTCCACGAAAACACTATGCACTGAAGATAAAAACACAGCGAATCATACAAAGAACATATTATATTATCTACCCTAGATTTGTTTTTGTATTTATCTGATACAATAATATCAGACGTGTGATAATGCTTCATATTTACTAAAATGGTTTTCCCCGGTGTCCAATTTTGCCATGAAATTTATTCAGCCATCTTGCTCATAGAAGAGAATCCGAAGAAAATTTAAACACACTCACATATCTGCTTTATGGATCATATATAATGTAGCACAGATTTCTTCTTCGTGTAGGTTTATGTCACACCCAGGTTCATCTTTAGTTGTCTTTAGTAGGAATTGATTGAAAGAGAATAGACGAGGTGAAAGATGGTCTTGTCGATAATGATGGTGATGATGATGATGTCTACTACTTTTACTACTACTACTACTACTACTACTACTACTACTACTACTACTACTACTACTACTACTACTACTACTACTACTACTACTACTACTACTACTACTACTACTACTACTACTACTACTGTTACTGCTACTGCTACTGATACTAGAAAAAAAAAAAAGACTCAGGCCCACCCAAAATGGATTTTAGATAATAAGTGTTACTCCCCTCTTCTCTCCCGCATCCCATGTTTTTACTTCTTTGGTGCCAATTTAAGTAATAAATTATGTACGCATAATAATACCTATGTCCCAAAGACTTGAGTTAAAACCAAATTATAAGCTTCAACACAAAGCCGGGATCTCCATCTAGGATGAGACGGTTGAAGTCTAAGGGCTGTTCAAACCTCCAGGAAGCAGCTCGCAAGTTACAAACTAATACCTCACAGTCACGTGGTTGTGATAGTTTAGTAATTCTTCAGACGTTGGCGGAAACAAAGTTAGTCCATTGTCCCTTTACAGCATGTCGTAAAAAACGACTGAAAAAAAAAAAAAAGCTTTACTGATACAGAATGCGTGTCGTCGCATCCTATCGGCAAGGACCTCGCTCGAGGGTCCAAATGTTGTGCCTGAGGGTCCAAATGTTGTGCCTGAGGGTCCAAATGTTGTGCCCGAGGGTCCAAATGTTGTGCCCGAGGGTCCAAATGTTGCAAGAAAATGCGTAGTCTGATTTATCAAAGTGATGATCTTGGTTCTCGTGTCGGCACAGCTAACATGAAATCTGGTTAAGTCATAAAGATCAAATGATAACGTTGAGAGGATCGACGTTATCGCACCGGCTTTTTCATATGTGGCTTAGTCTCTCTCTCTCTCTCTCTCTCTCTCTCTCTCTCTCTCTCTCTCTCTCTCTTTCTTTCTTTCTCTATTTCTCTCTATTTCTCTCTCTCTATTTCTCTCTCTATTTCTCTCTCTTTTTCTCTCTATTTCTCTCTCTATTTCTCTCTATTTTCTCTCTCTCTCTCTCTCTCTCTCTCTCTCTCTCTCTCTCTCTCTCTCTGCAGAGCCGCTAGCCGTTTGCCAAGAGCGCCTCACAGAGCACGAACTCCCTAACCCCTAGGGATCTCCGTAAAAACCCCACTCGCCTTTATAATAAACTTCTGTCTCTAAACAAGCACATACTTCAGTGTTTCGGTATCTTTTCAAACATCTAGTGCCGGGCAGGGCAAACTGTGACCTGCTGGCCAAAACTGACACACAAAGCAATTTTAGCTGGTCAGCAAGGCAGGTGTAAAAGTACCATACAATCTGGCCCTTCAGATTACAGAATGTCAGAATACAGCAACTAACTTTCGCAGACAGAAAGGAAAAAATACAAATTTATAAATAGGGATAACCTACACAAAGATAACCAGATCTGTGATCCTATAAGTGAAACACATGTTGCAGACACAATCTGATCTTAAGCGACAGTTTCTGTCGCCGGACTTTGATAATATTAATATTAGGCAACGACCATATTTTTTTCTGTTTATAGATTACTTTCTTAGCTTCGAAAGAAAACAACTGGATTTTATGTTCATAAAAGATGTGTGTTTCCCTTATGACTGGCGACCAGGTTAATAATTCTAAATTTAGCTTTAAAAAGGTTGCCCACCCAGATGTAGTGCATCATTTAAATATTTTCTCTGTGTGGGTTCTGGAAGCCCATATACATACAGGTGGGGGAGGGGGTAGGCCCACTGCTACCACTCCCTCCCCCACCCAACCCTCCAACAAGCATGTCGTAAACGCTGACTACTTAGCAGTTCCCTGAAATCAGATATGTTGAGCCAAGAGTCACACATATTGCTGCCTAGCAATCCACATCTTAACGTGGCAACCGTCTTTAAAGGGAAAACATAAAAAAAAAAGAAAAAAGAAGAAGAAGAAGAAGAAGAAGAAGAAGAAGAAGAAGAAGAAGAAGAAGAAGAAGAAGAAGAAGAAGAAGAAGAAGAAGAAGAAGAAGAAGAAGAAGAAGAAGAAGAAGAAGAAGAAGAAGAAGAAGAAGAAGAAGAAGAAGAAGAAAAGAAGAAGAAGAAGAAGAAGAAGAAGAAGAAGAAAGAAGAAGAAGAAGAAGAAGAAGAAGAAGAAGAAGAAGAAGAAGAAGAAGAAGAAGAAGAAGAAGAAGAAGAAGAAGAAGAAGAAGAAGAAGAAGAAGAAGAAGAAGAAGAAGAAGAAGAAGAAGAAAAAGAAGAAGAAAAAGAAGAAGAAGAAGAAGAAAAAGCGGAAGCGGAAGCGGCAGCAGGACGAGGAAGAAAGGTGGGAAGAAAAAGGGAGAAAAAACATGTTCCTATAATGTTAGACTTGATATTCAAATATCAGTTCGATGTTTCATTTAAAACGTAATATGCCTCATCAAAGCAGTCGATTTTATCAAATGTATTGTGAACTGATGCTTTGTGCAGTTCTTCTGTCAGAAAAGGACGCCCGAGAGCCTGATTAAGCAGGTGGAAACAAGACCTCATTTACCAGGGAAATACAGGTCAGTGATGTCCATATTCTCCTTATGCTACTACCATTCAGTGTGGGGTTTAAACCTTCGGGGACAACAGCAATATAGCCCCAAAACGGCCCCATAATACAAGCTATGATATTGGCTGGCTGGACTTCATACGAGACAATCAGTTAGTTTCTCGCAGTTTTTTTTTTTTTTTTACATGTGGCTGTTCAATGGCACCTTTTGTGAAAGTATATTGTGTTCTGTAATTTTACACACGCAAAATATTACAATTCTAACTGTGCTGCAAACGAGTCAATTCCATTGCCAGCAAGAACCATACTCAATGCCAACCACTACATTATGTTAAAAGTCAAATAGACAGCAGTCACGGAACAATGTCGCAGCTCGCACATGAATCAAGAGCTAAAGACAGTGCCACCAACACCCACAGTCTGTCACTAGAATAGTTAATGGAAGCAGCAGTCACGGCACAATGTCGCAGCTCGCACACGAACCAAGAGCTAAAGGCAGAGCCACCAACACCCACAGTCTGTCACTAGAATAGTAAATGGAAGCAGCAGTCACGACAAACCAGCAGCTGATTACTGCATATGACACACAACTACTTCTGTGGCAACCAGCAAATAGATAAGCTTTGAATATGCAGTGCAAATGGGAGCACAGACAATTGCTCATGAAAAAATCACAACTGACAGTGTCGCCCCACTGAGTCAACTCAGGCGCTAGCCCTCGGAAACTTATCCTTCCACTTGATTATTTAGAGAAAAGGGTCCATCGTGTAAGCCAGATAGTCTTAGAGACATTAGCAGACTTGTATTGCTTCGCTGCTTTACTGGAGCCCTAGAAAGATGCAACGACACAGATGGGGAACAAAAAGAGGGGACAAAAAGAAATTATCACTAGTTTATGTGTTCTACAAGAGAGGTCACAAGTGCCTTAACTTTTATGAGACACCCGCGCCTTCCCCTTTCTTCCCCCTCTTCCCACCTTCCCTAGCTGAACACGACCTAGCTGTCTATCCTATTCAGTAATACCCAACTCTAACTTACATTAAGCACACCTCTGGATCATTCGACTTCCCCCTCTCCACCTCACCCCCTTTTACAGCTAAGTTCATTGCAACCAATATCTATGTCCATCGTTCCACCCCCCCCCCTCCCTTTTTTCCCCTACAACCACCCAAGTTGCATTCTTGACAACTACAGACCACTTGATTTACAACGTTGACAAAAAAAAAAATGGAGATACATATTTCAGTAATATTAAAATGTGCTGTTTGGTCATCACAGTAAACCCACTGTCACAGGTCATACCTTCTTACCCGCACACAGCTGCATGTTGCCCCAGTCAAATGCAGCCGTTGCCGGTACACCAATTATATCTTTTTTTTTTTAAACTGTTGAGGAATATAAATTATAACAAGCAATTATGATGAAAAAAGTCTTTCATATATATATATATATATATATATATATATATATATATATATATATATATATATATATATATATATATAAATGTTTGTGTGTTTGTTTGCCTCCTATAGACTCGGAAACTACTAAACCGATTTAGCTGAAATTTTCAGGATGTGTATGTTTTTTTCCTTTACTTACTTAAAGCAATGTTATGCTCTGTCCCCACTTCTGTTCAACTTGGTCCTGGAGAAAACTATAAGGAAGTTGATACAAGAATGTACTACAGGAGAATCTACAAAAATACTAGGTTATGAGGATGACATTGATATCATCTGAGAAAATTAACCAGTGACTGTTAAATCATTGACTCTCTTAAAAGAATCAGCTCGGAAAATAGGACTAGTTACCAATCAAGATAAGACAGAATACATGATAATAAATAGACAGGGAAAGAATATAAACTCGAACCACATACAAGTCGATAACATAAAAATGAAACGAACAGAAACACATACCTACTTGGATGCAAACTTCAACTGCTCCAACATGCTGAGAAAAGAAATCATCATTACATCATTGGCGTCTTTCCGTCTTTCCAGGCGATAAAGTAATTTTGCGCTATGAAGAGACATTGGACTCGCCTATGGCGATGGCGAGCAGAAGACGATGGAGAGATAATGTCCAGTGGGGTAATTTGTGTTCTAGTCCTGTCATTATCGATCCACTTGTTTATGTATTTTGCTGTCAGTCATTTCCTGTTAGACTAAATCACCGACGGAGTTGCGATTCGTCTATACAATATAAGCTTAGCTGTATGCGACCAAAACTCCTGAAGGCGTTAAAAGGAGTTCCTTAACTGTATTTTATATTATTTTACAGAGTTAACACCGCCTTGCAAAATTCAGAGGAGTTTGCCAAGGCCTACAACTGCCCCCTGGGATCCTTCATGAACCCGGAGAAGAAGTGTTCTGTCTGGTAGTTGTCGCTCCTGGATGATAAACCATATTTATTGTTTGAGAAGTTGCTGAACGGAAGGAAACCACTACTGATTCACAGTGTGCCATGCACACACATGAGATTGTTGACTAGAGAAACTTTTATGAGTGTAATTCAGCTAACGTTCTTTACATCCAGAAAAATATTAGTTAGCACACCCGGAAACGAACACAAGAGGGTAATTACTGATGACAGCTCACTAAATAAAATTGATGCAGGGCCGAAGATCGAACCATTTTAAGCAACATCAAAGAAAAAACACATTAGAATGTTATGCAACGTTTTGGTAACGAAAGTAGTGTAATATTTTCATCCTTGGTGTCCCAATCGTTCTTACAATAAATGTTTACAACGAACAGTCATCATGATAGTTTTGTTTCAATTAATAACCTCTTCTCTTCCCAAGACACGCATCTTGCACTAGAAAACAAATAATATTTATCATACCTTGTTTTTTGTGTGTTTGTGTGATGACCTTAGTTGAACAGGGTTCACAGGGTCAGCAGAATATATTAATTAAAGGGCCCATGATAGCATTTTTTTTTTCTGTTAATGCCTTGATCTTTTCTTAAACAGGTGGTTCTACCACACCGTCAGTGTCTGTGGCTTAGGAGTTGCGAATGCGTTTCGTAATGCCAGCGTGCCGGGTTCGATCCCAGCTGAGGACGATTTGACTTTCGTTGGTTTCCACTGTGATACCAAAAGCTGACCGTTAGGAGAGCAAAGGCAAACTACTGAACGTTACATTTGCCTAAAATGAAAACCACAACAGCCAAAAAAATGCCGGGGTTGGTTGTGCAACGCCCTGTAAAGGATACGCAACTATTTCCTTCTACGACACCAATAGGACACCGGGTAAAATAATGTTGCACACACAAGGGATACATAGAAATCTAGACAGATAATTTCGGATGAGATGACCGAGAAAAGTCACATACCTGGCAATCAAAGGGGGAGTGAACAATGATACTGTCAGACAGGTTATGGGAACGAAACCATGTACTAGATTTATCGAGAAAGAGCAGATCGGGTTATTTGGTTAAGTCGTTAGAAATGCAGCGAGATCGAATACCATCCCAGGCACTATATCTAAGAAGATCGGCTACAAAAAGAAGAGGACGGCCACGAATCATGGTTTGCCAAAATTAAAGACACTTTACGCCATGACTATAGCCAGTGCCAGCCAGCGGGCACTGGATCGCAAATTATTTCTCCCCACGGCGCTTTACAGCAGAAGTAGTTGACGATGATAGTGAGAAATGAAACTTTTTAAACTATAACATGGTGCAGTGAAATGCAAAGGTGGGTGTCTTTTTCGTGGCTGGTCATGGTCGTCGTAAAAAAAAAAAAAAGATTCTTGCCAATTTCAGTCAGCTCCTAGAGTGAGCAGCGACTCTATCTTGGCGTCGTATGTTTGCTTCGAATTTGTTTCCAATTTCTGTTTGTCATTTGTTTGCAGCGTTTGTCGCTTTGTCCGATTTCTGTTGGGTAGGGTGGGGATCTCAGTCTGCCCTAAAAAGGGCAGGCCATAGCCTGGGACGGCACTGAAATCAGGTAATGGCGGGGATGGATCGGGTGTTCTGTCATGCCAGTCTGGTCAGAGCTGTTGGGTGTCTTCGGTCCGGTGAGCTGGCTTGTTCGTCTGTCATGGCTTCTTGCTTGTTTTTTATATATAAACCATTAGACTTTCCATGGCGGATATGGTCAGCATAACGTCGGCTGCTTTTACTTCTAAGGAATTTACCTAGTACCCCTTTGTGGCCAGGTCTTCATGGTAGCCAAGGCCGTTTAGAGAGGAACAAATCCGACTCAATGCGATTTCGAACACAAAAACTTCTTGAAGTCTGATAAGCGCCAGTCCACTATGCCATCTCGAATCACTGCAATGAAACGTAATGTCTGTTTTAAGTTAGTTAGTTAGTTAGTTAGCTGGTTATTAGCTTGGTTACTTAGTTAGTTACTTAATTAGTTAGTTACTTGCTTACTTAGTTAGTTGGTTAGTTAGTTTGTAAGTTACTTAGTTGGTTAGTTATATAGTTTGTAAGTTTGTTAGTTAGCTACTTAGTTAGTTAGTTTGTAAGTAAGTAAGTTAGATAGTTAGTTATTTAGCCAGTAAGTCAGTTTATTCGTTTTTTAGTTAGTTACTTGGTAAGTTGGTTGGTTAGTTAGTTAGTTAGTTAGTTAGTTAGTTAGCTAGTTAGTTAGTTAGTTAGTTAGTTAGTTAGTTAGTTAGTTAGTTAGTTAGTTAGTTAGTTAGTTAGTTAGTTAGTTAGTTAGTTAGTTAGTCAGTCAGTCAGTCAGTCAGTTAGTTAGTTAGTTAGTGAGTGAGTGAGTTAGTCAGTCAGTCAGTCAGTCAGTCAGTTAGTTAGTTAGTTAGTTAGTTAGTTAGTTAGTTAGTTAGTTAGTTAGTTAGTTAGTTAGTTAGTTAGTTAGTTAGTTAGTTAGTTAGTTAGTTAGTTAGTTAGTTAGTTAGTTAGTTAGTTAATTAGTTAGTTAGTTAGTGGGTTAGTTAGGTAGTTAATTATTGGTTGGTTAGTTAGTTATTTGGTTAGTTAGTCAGTTACTTATTTAGTTAGGTAATTGGTTGTTCAGTTAGCTAGTTACTTTGTTAGTTAGTTAGTTAGTTAGTTAGTTAGTTAGTTAGCTGTTAAAGTATTTAGTTAGTTAGTTAGTTATGTAAAATTTAGTTAGTTACTTAGTTGTTTGGTTAGTTTGTTATTTATTACTTGGTTAGTTGGGTGGTCGGTTAGTTATTTAGTTATTTAGTTAGTTAGTTTTTTAATTAGTTAGTTATTTAGTTAGTTAGTTGATCGTTTAGCTAGTTAGTTGGTCGGTTAGTAAGTTATTTAATTGGTTAGTTAGTTAGTTGCTTGGTTTGTTAGTTAGTTAGTCAGCCAGTTGGTCGGTTGCTTAGTTAGTTACTTAGTTAGTTGCTTAGTTAGTTGGTTGTTTGGTTAGCTAGTTAGTTAATTAGTTGTAGAAAACAAATTGCATTTCTGTGGTTCCAAAAAAAAGTTTATAATACTAATAAATGGCACGAAAATCATGCAGATTTCTGAGGTCAACAGTCAAAGTTCTCATACAATCCGGGGCAAGGAACACCGCACGTGAACAAAATTGGGATCGTCGAAAAAAAAAATCAATCAATTCAATAGCAAACAATCAGGAAGTATGTGATAACGATATTACCACAGAAATGCTCAAGGCAGCAGATGATTTAACTTTAAACCGAGCTTAAGGTTCATGGAATAAAATCTGGGCACGGGAGAATATTCTTCATTAGTGAAAGAAAGGAATAATTGATAAATGTTATCTCTCAAAATTAGAAATGATATTATCACACAGGCGGTAAGAACAACGCCATTCAGCAAATTATTTGAGAGAAATAAAAATTGCGTTGGTAGTCTAGTAAGTATGCAGACATAACAAGTACTAACGCGGGCGCTACACGGAAGTATATGTGAAATGAAAACAAGAGGCAGCCCTAGAAGAGAAAGGATTGATGACATTAAAGAGCATATATACCGACAGGGAATAAGTGTCTATAAAGCAATGGATGGCAAACTGTTCCTCCCCATAGAAGTAGAAATGGATGAAAATGATGATGATGATGATGAGAACATCTGTTAAGGAATTTCTCTGTTATCAGTAATGTCCAAGATCGTTTCTAGTGTCAACAAATTTCTTGGTACATTCACAATTTAAACAGGTAGGGGACACAATCGTGAGAGAGGAGCAACCGTGTTTTTGACCTGAAACAACTGCTTCTTTTGCCCTAACCTGCCTGACATATGATTGACTGTAAGTCCGTCTGCTGCCTGACATATGCTCGACTGTAAGTCACGTCTGCTGCCTGACATATGCTCGACTGTAAGTCACGTCTGCTGCCTGACATATGCTCGACTGTAAGTCCGTCTGCTGCCTGACATATGCTCGACTGTAAGTCACGTCTGCTGCCTGACATATGCTCGACTGTAAGTCCGTCTGCTGCCTGACTTATGCTCGACTGTAAGTCACGTCTGCTGCCTTACTTATGCTCGACTGTAAGTCCTTCTGCTGCCTGACATATGCTCGACAGTAAGTCACGTCTGCTGCCTGACATATGCTCGATTGTAAGTCATGTCTGCTGCCTGACGTATGCTCGACTAAAAGTCATGTCTGCTGCCTGACATATGCTCGATTGTAAGTCACATCTGCTGCCTGACATATGCTCGATTGTAAGTCACGTCTGCTGCCTGACATATGCTTGACTGTAAGTCACGTCTGCTGCCTGACATATGCTCGATTGTAAGCATAGGCCCCCACCAAATCAAGCCAAGTCGGTCTACCCTTTTCTGTCACGTTTTTTTTTTAAACTTCACTTTCTAGCTCCTTTGTCCATGTGTATTTTGATCTTACATCTTACTTTACTTCGATGCCCTTGTGGGTTCCAGTGTAAAGACATTCTAGTTATACTGTTGTCATGTTTTCTAAACGTGTCTCATACCTAACACCAAAACATTTTCTTCACCTCTTGGTTCACAGGAACTTGTTTAGTTCTCGCCTGTCTACATTAGTAATTCTATCATACCTTTAATTCCCTCTATTCTCAATGAATGTTTGTAGTTTATTTTTAATTGCTTTAGTTGTTTTCCATGTTTGCTTTTCTTACAACAGTACTGATTTGACATAAGAATGTTAAAATTTTAGGTTTAGGTTTACTTTTAATTTATGTTGACCTCAACAAACTCCCTAGTGCTATGAAAGCTTCTCTTGCCCTTTGTATTCGTGTTTTATTATCTATCGATTCCCCCATCTTTATCTACCTTTGTCTACATTACTGCCCAAACAGGTGTACGTCTCAGAGTCTTGGAGTGGGATACCTTTAAGAGAAACCAGATTTCTGTTTGTCTGATTTATTGTCATTATCGTTGTCTTTTCTTGTGGATTTTCAGACTAGCTGTTGTGAACTCAGATCAAGTATATTAAGTCAATGGTAACGTG